AGGGTGCAGGCTCTGGGCAGTGCTTACCTCAAGCATCTCCCAAAAGTAGAAGCATGTCCCCCCCTCTGGCTCCTATGTGGAGGCGCGGCCAGGTGGCTTAGCACGCTGCCCTGTCTGCAGGTGCTGCCCCTGCAGCTCCCATTGGCCGTGGTTCCCGGCCAATTGGATCTCCAGGGGCAGTGCTTGGGGCAGGGGAAGCATGCAGAGCCCCCTGACTGCCCCTACACATAGGAGCCAGAGGGGGGACATTCTGCTGCTTCTGGGAGCCACGCAGAATAGGGCAAACCCCTGACCCTCCTCCCCAGCTGGAGTGCCAGAACGGGGCAAGCCCTGGACCCCGCTCCCTGGCGAGAGCTCGAGGGCTGAATTAAAATGTCTGGAGGGCCGGATGTGGCCCCCGGGCCATAGTTTGCCCATCCCTGATCTATACAGTGGTATAACTGCATTCACACTAAGGGGGTTGTACTACTTTAGCTGTGCCGATATAGATAGAATGGTACAAATAAAAGCATTAGGATGGAAGATAAAATCCAAGATGAGGCTGACAAAATCCAGGCAGCATGACTTTGCTAATTTGGACATACACAGAGGATCTGGTGAAGATGGCCTGGCAAGAGAGGGTGGCAGGAAAGAGACCCTTGGGAAAGCTGAGGAAGCGACAGATGGATTGGATTAAAGAAGATAAGCAGGTGGACCTTAGGGCTGCCTGGGACAGACAAAGCTGGAGAATGCTTGCACAACGATCCAGACCCAGTTGATCGGATATGGGGAAGAAGAAGAAGTACAATTTTTGTGTTTAGACTAAGCATTAGATTTTCCATTTAGACAGGAATCTTATTTCTGTATCTTGTTAAGAGTTCTACCTTGACCATCAACATGCCTTTTAAATATTTCCATTGTTCCTAGTTAGGATAAAAAACTCGATTCATTTTATTCTCTTTCTATAGCAAAAGCTTGTCAGTGATCTACTTTTGGTGGAAATGTGGAGCCAATGGCTACTCTGTTTTAACATGCATCTCCTCCAAAACTTGTGATTCATAAGCAACAGTATAAAATAAAACATGCATTTTTTCCACACACCTCCAAGAAATTGCCCATTAAATAGTTGGCTGTAATCCATCCATACACCCCTTCCTCTTGCCCAGTTATGATTTGAGCACCCCTAAATTCAAAGGGCTGGGATCTGAAGTAGTTTTGAATGCTCCCAAGGACTTCATTGGCTGCTGTTTCGTTTTTCAACCTAAGCAATTCACAAAACACAAAATGCTGAGCATCTGGAAAGACAAGCTGACCTTTATTCTTTTATCCACCTAGTGACTAAAGGAATGCCCAGGATTTCCTGCAGACAATCTGAGTCCATTTTGGTCTGGAGGGACAGCCTTTAATAAGGAACCTCTGAGTTAGATTACAGCCAGCTTTAGCAAGCCTAAAACAACTCTGAAGGTTGTAGAGCATTAGCTGTGGGCATGTCTTAAGCCGACATTTCTGCAGTAGCTCTGATCAACCCAGCCTGCTCAAAATAGAAGCGTAACCGTAGTGGGCTAGCTGCCCCAAATACAATCCCATCTGAGACCCAAGGTACCTACTGGGATGGCTAACCTTTCCCAGCACTGTGGCTACACTTCTATTTTTAGCACACTAGCATAATCAGAGATGGTGTAGGTATGTCTACTTGAGCTGGAAATTACATTTTCCAGTTCCAGGGTAGACGTATCCTACCAACAGTTGCCATGTTTACACTGCAGGCACCTAGGTATTTTGTTCCTCATATAAGATTGTATTTAGTGAACTGAGTGCTTATGTGAAAGGTGCTGGCTTAATTGTTACAGAGACTTTATCCCTCTCTTTAGCCACAGAGCCAGGTGCAGCACAGGAAACCTTGTGGGGAAATTTGTATTGCTAATGTGCCTCAGCCCTGTTCTGGAGGGCTCATCTCCAGTGGTAACAGGGTAGAGTCTCCAAGCCCATTCAAGCTATAATTGAAACTGAGAACAAAAAAGCCAGCTGGTGCCTGTCTCAAAAGCCCCATGCATAGATATGGAGCAACCACTTAGCATCATGCTCACACTTAGTGTAACTCCTTGTCTCCAGCTGAGTTACACCAACTATGAATTTGGGCTTCCTACCCTCAGATATGTCCACACAGTTCTCATTTACACAGTGGGAATTGACCCCACATGCTGAGGACAGAAATTAGGACCTCACATTACTGTAGTGCAAAGCAAGCAAATACTTCCTTTGAATACAGTAAAACGATATGGTAAAAGAAAAGCAGATCTGTTTAAAAAATAGACCAAAAGTTCCAAACCTTTAATTTTACTAGCTGAGTTGGATTTCCTTTTGAGACAGATCAGAATTCCTGGTGAACACAGAGTTGTCTAACACATTTTTCCATATCAGTTTCACATGCTGCTGTTTTATTTAGATATATTAAACATACTGGGCTTTTTTGCCATACCTCAGTAGTCGCATTCCAGCTGTAGCTCCCAGATATGTTGGGGTATTTTTATGCAAGTGAGATGGAATTTTCTCCTTTACTTTACTCATGCAGTTGTCAATGGGTTTGACAATCTCTTGAGGGTTATTCCCATAGCTGGATATGCCCGGGCCTAAAAAAGAGCAAGTGGCTGATTTCATTTGTCTTGCCACCTAGCATCAGAAGAAACAGCTTTTTTGGCCATTTAATATTCCATTTTGAAAAGATGTTTAACCTTTAAACAAGGACTTAATTTAAAAATCTTAACGATTAAAAAGAATATTAATGAACATGCCTTGGAGTCTTTTATACAGGGCAGCACTCTTGACATATGACTCGCCCCCCAACACTGCCATCCTTTCAACTGTACATAAGCGCAAATTGACAACAGTGCCACATTAATGCGAAAAATATATTACATGTGTCAGGCACTGCAGAAAAATCCACCTACTGGGTGGAAAAAAACCTCCTGGATCTCCAAAATTATAGAAAACTCCATCCCCGTGTGTCCTTAATCATGTGGACTACACCTAACAAACTGGCATATGTCAGACCAGATCAGGAAGTAGCAGCCTACTGGAAGCAAAATAATGAATTGTGAGCTGCAATTTGACCTTTGACTGGACTTAGTGGCAGCATGGTCCAGTGGAGAGGGACCTGGACTGGGAATCAAGCAACCAGGGGTCTATTCCTGTATCTACCAATGACCTGCTAAATAACTTTGGACAAGTCATTTTCCTTTCTTTGCCTCAGTCTACCTATCTGTAAAATGGAGAATAATTCTACTTTATTCAGTGCTTTGAGCATCACAACTGAAGTGCACTTGGGGAATGCTTATTATTATCAGGAGAACCGATTCCCCCGAGAAAGCTTGCAAGAGAGCAACATATAGATTTTGGCACTCAATTACCTAGAGGCTCATGATCAAATCCAGATCCCAAGGTAGACATGCTAGCTCAGGAACCATCTGGAATAAGGATGTAACCCTACAGCTCTGGTCCTTAGGTGCAATGGACCTATCAGTTACAAATATGAGACTAGTAGAAGCAAGTGACTTAGCCTTCTAAGTGGCTGGCCCCTAGCTGTGCGACTCCATCCCACCAGAGTAAAGAAAGACCACAAACCGGACTGCTTCTAGGATGAAATGCAAGCCTCTTCATGATAGCTTTCCAATAGCAGCAATAATTAATCAGAATAATAAAAAGGAAAACAAAAACTGCCCATAAAGCAAAGAAAATAACAAACCTCGACCCCATGTTTGGGGGGTGGGGGGAGGTGGACAGGAGACCAAGAAGAGAGATAATCTATTATTAATTTTTAATTATTATTATTATTACAGTGTACACCTGATTCTCCAAAACCTAGTTATCTGAACCTCCACATTATTCGAATCCCTTCCTTGTCATTGCTGGGGGACAAGAGAGAAGAGACCCTCAGCTGCGGAGCAGGCCACCTTGCCGCTGTACAGCTCCCGTGGCAGTGGAGGGAGACCTCTGCCACCCCGCTGTTGTGGGTGAGAGTGAGTAGGGTGTGACTGTGGAGCTCCAGGGGGCCAGTGACAACCAATTCTTGCAGGTGGCAGGTGCAGGGGAGGCTGCAGTTCTGGTGGGGCAGAGCAGAGTCCTGACCAGGGGTCTCCGCTTTGCCCTACTAGGAAGGCAGCCTGCCCCCACAACTTTGCATCTGCAACATTTGAAAGGGCAGGCGTGTCAGCGCAGGGAGCCCTCTGCAGCCCTGCTGTGCTGGGAGCAAGTGAACGGGGCCATGAGAGTGAAGCAGCAGAGGGCTCACTGCACTGCCGCTCCTGCCCTCCCAATTATCCAAATGAAATCTGTGCCCCCCATGCTATTCAGGAGGATACATGAATGCATATGGGTGGGCAGCACATCAATATCTGGAAGGTGCTCATACAAGGCAGTGATCACTGCGTTGTAGCCAGAGTAGAGCCACTGTATAAAGGAATATGGACTGGGTCAGCTCTAGGGTGGGCTGCCCAATTGCCACAGGGCTGATGGGAGAAGAATGCAGTGGAGAGCAGATCTCCTCCTATTTCCCCACCTCCCCACCTCTGGAGGAGCCCTGGCCCAGAAGTGTGCATGCAGCGCAGCTGGTGGAGGATTGGGAAGAAGGGAGAAGCATGCTGCTGGTTACCGCTCTCCCTCTCCACACTGTCACCCTACAGACATGCTGTCTGGCTCCCTTTCACACACAGTATCACAGGGACTAGCACACATTTGGCTACTGTAGTTTGAGGCACCTTTCTATGGATTCACACAATACCCCTGTACAGAGTCACCTGGCCCCTTAGGTTCTATAATTCTCTTGTCTCTCTTGGGGGAAAAAACCAAACAATTAAAACCAACTTTAAAAGTGCTTCCTCTTGTGTTTTTAGGGCAGCAGAATGGCTCAGCTTCACGATGCAGCTTTCTCACACCAAAAACCCTAAGGGCAACATTCTTAATTAGCCAAGACATGAGATGTCAACGTGCGGCTGCTGTGCAGTGCCGGCAGCATGCCACTCCTGCACGTGTAAGGACATAGCACATGGCAGGTCCCGGTGCAGTTCTTCCATGTTTTGTTCCTCGTGTAAGCTTAGATTTCTCTACATTTTTTTTTAATTGTTGGGGCATGTGTATATAGTGTTAAAGATAGAAAGACTGGTAGTGCTAGAAACCAGTGCTTTCTATTCATCCACCAGCCACTACAGACAGCTACACCCTAAATATCCATTTCCAGACAAAATCCAGGATATAGGATTTTGCATAATCCTCATTGACCCATGTTCTGGAGAAAGAAGGAAAGGAAAAGTCACCTGTGGAGGTTAGTGCTGATATCATGGATCAGCAAATGTCTGAGGGAGAGATGATTAGTCTCTGTCCATTGTTATAAAACTGATTTTTAATATCCTCTCTCCCCAGTACACCTAACTTTGCTAAAATTAAACCAATACTCCCCCAAAATCCCATGTGTTGTCCTGAGCCAGGGGATAATTTCCTTGAAATGTTGTGGGAGTAATCAGACAAAGCATTTTACAGATAAGACTGAATGAAAAAAATTCAAAGGTTTATACTTTTATGGACGTTTCCTAACATTTGTGGGAATATTAGAGCTCTGAAATGGTTTGGCAGAGAAACACTGCATTTGATTATGCCTTAAACTTGGGCTAGATTGTGGCAGTCCCCTTGCTCACATAAATGAGCAGTTACTCACACAAGTCAGCGTATTAGAGTCTGATCCCCAGCTCAAAGAAGTCAATGGAAAGACGTCCATTGACTTCAGTGATCTTTAGCTTAGGCCCTTAATGAATTAATACTAATAGGCCTTCAATGGGACTATCTGTGTGAGTAACTGTTCATCCACGTGAGGAACAGAAGCCAAGGGATCGCAATCTAGCCCAGGAAAAAATAAAAGAATGATGCTGGTCACTTTTCTTTCTAATCTTCCTCCAGCTCTCTCATTTTCCTTTCTTCGTGTCACCTGCACGAACTCCTATTCCTGCTCCTATTTCTGTATTATCCCTGTAGCACAATACGACTGGGAAGGATACCTGCCTGTACCACAGCAAGAGCACTAGAAGAGTTTGTGCGTGTGAAGAAATTGTTTATGGGTTTATACCCAACAGCTGAAATCGGACTTTACACAAGCCATAGCCCAGGCACGCACACGGGCTTTAGAACATGTGCTTGGATTAAAGACTGACAAAACGATTAAAAAAAAAATCAGATCCACCCTCCTCCACATGCACAGACAACACAAAAACACAGTTTGAAGCAGATTAAAAACTAGCTTAAGTGGGTGTAAAAGTGCTTTTTCTCTGGGGTCTGCTCTTGAGAGGTACAGAGTATCCTCAATGGGAGCTGAGGGTTCCCAGCACGTGGCAAAATCAGGCCTTTAAAGAGCCTTGGAACGTGTGGAGAGCTTTTCTTTTCTCAGATGATTGAATGAATTTCCGGGATCATTAATGAGTGGCTGACAGCACTGGCTGGATGAAATAAGGTGTACATTTTCTGACTGCATACAAGCCATACATTTTTAACAGTGAGAGTAATTAACCATTGAACAAATTACCAAGCTTGGGTCATGGTGGATTCTCCATCACGGACAATTTTTAAATTAAAATTGGATTTAAAAGATATGCTAAGGAATTATTTTGGGGAAGTGTGTTATACAGGGGGTCGGACTAGAGGATCATCAGGGTCTCTTCTGGGCTTGGAATCTAGGAATCTTCCTCATGCAGCTCTGCAAACACACCAAAGCGCTAACCTGCAACAGCCCTGCTATTCCACTCCTGGGACTCTCCTGAACACATCATGCTAGTTTTATGCTTAACTTGATGGCTCTGTAATATATAAAAATGTCCACTAGGTGAGACACCTAGCCAAATTTGAACCTAGAAAAAGGTAAAGGGAATGTGTGACTTGTGTGACTGGTGAAGAACAGAGTTTTTCACTTCAAGACCACATGTTAAATTGACCCAGATTAGCAGTGTTCGAAAGTTATCTGCTGGCTGTTCAGTGACCTATGTGAAATGATTTCAGTCCAGTTCCTAGTGGATTAACATCCATGTCACAAAACCATAATCACAACTGGTGCCATCCTTGGCAGTTTCAGCAGTGAGGCCCAGGAATCCATGAGCATAGACACTGAACTCTCCTCTCGTCACTAGAGGCTCTCTTCAATCAAGAGATTGATGGAGCCGGGCAGGGGGGAGGGCAGAAGCGGGAGAAAGTTTGCACCTATGCTTCCCATGCTCTTCTATCTGTTCTTTAGACAGAGGACTTTAGTCTCCAGGATTCTCAGTCTAGTCTCATTCACAAGCACTGAAGTCACTTATAACAAACATGTAAAGAAAACATTTTAAAAAAAAAGTAACCCAGATTTCCAGAAAAGAAAAGCAAATAATGCGCCAACCTGCTAGCACAGCTGGGGCCCTATGTTGCTCCCACTGAAATCAACAGCAAAACTCCAATAGAAGTTCAGCCCCTAATCCTTTCAGAGGATTTTTATTTTAATTATTTTTACATTAAACAGCTTTTTCAAAGAACAGCTCAAGACACTAGAAGCACTAGACAAGGGGTAGCCAACCTATGGCACGCGTGCCGAAGGCAGCACACGAGCTGATTTTCAGTGGTACTCACACTACCCGGGTCCTGGCCACCAGTCTGGGGGGGCTCTGCATTTTAATTTAATTTTAAATGAAGCTTCTTAAACATTTTAAAAACCTTATTTATTTTATATACAAAATAGGTTAGTTATATATTATAGGCTTATAGAAAGAGACCTTCTAAAAACATTAAAATGTATTACTGGCACACGAAACCTTAAATCAAGGTGAATAAATGAAGACTCGGCACACCACTTCTGAAAGGTTGCCGACCCCCGCACTAGATATTAAAGGGTCAGATTGACTGGTATGATCTGGTCCCTCTGTGCCATTCAGGCAGTACAAAGAAGCTATATTCTGGCCCTAAATAGTCTCCAGAACATTTCTCACAAGAACTCTGATGACATAAGCCCAGTGGAAGCAGTTCCTGCTCCAGCTGTCCCACCCCACCATGGTGAAAGGGTCATGCTGGGGAAGGAGGAAGCACGTGAGCGGAAAATACCTGAAGGAGCATTGCTTCACTATACAGATCCTCCTCTGTCATAAGTAAAAGCAGCCCACAGGCTACACTAACTACCGCCAGGACCCGGCAGGCTCTGAATAAGGGATCAGTAACTTTTTTGGCATCAAACTGCTATTTCCAAATCTCCATTTGAGCCTCACCTTTCACACTGCACTTGAAGGTTTGGCTTACTACTCCTGTATCATTTTCTTTTTCTGCTGGCCATTCATACATGTAGACTGTAGTCCGAGATGATCCGGCGTCAAGCACTATCCCATACTGAAAAAAAAGGGGTTACAATTTAAAATCCAAAATTTGTCAGCCTTTTGTTTTTTTTAAAAACTAACACAAGGTTTTCGGCACCGGTCATTGTGCCGCACATTTACTTAAACACCAAAGGAATGCTTTGACATGTACTAGAGTGATATTAACTGAAAACATCAGGTACTTGGACAATCTGCCTGAGTCAGGCCGCAGTCTGTGAATGATTCCTAATGAAAAACTGGCGCATAGTATAGCAAACAAACATGCCACAACTTGGCTATTTTGGTTGCAACTACAATTTCCAGGAGGAGCAGCATGTTACAGAGGCTGACAAGCGAAGTGCCATATCAGGCAAACTTCTGCTTTCCCCTGCAGCCATCATAGCCGCAAATCGCCTCTTTTGATTTACCAAACATTGTCAACTTCCAGGAGACTAACTAGCAGACAAAGTCATCCTTGCTTGATTTGTAGACTGGAAACATTTACAGCAAATGGAATATTTAACTTGAATGTAGCATGGTCCCCTGGCATTTCTTTAGATCCATTGTTTAGCACAACCCCATTATTTTAATGGAGAGCATTAGGTGACTGCTCCAGTTTACCAGAAGGCTGTATGAGGAATGTGCTTCCTCTCTGCTCACACAAGCAGGTTACAGAATTGGGGAAATATATCTATTTGCGCTCAATCTAAATTACTCTAAAAATGCAGCCGTTATGAGAGGTAATATAATAACATACTTTGGTGTGTGGATTTCTTTAAGGAGACTCAGATGCTTCATGTATCTTGTCAACTGTATGTTACTGCCTTAGCAATCAGCATGAACATGGTCTGACTTTAAGTGCTAATGTATAATTGTGCAGTGCAACTAGAAACCTGGAGAAGTCCTGCCTGACAGTATCACGAACAGAACACAATCATTATGGTTTCTTTCAGAATACAATCCAAATGTACACAGGACACCAATTAATTCCTTCTTCTGGATGCAGACTCATACCTGCTGCAAAGCCACTAACGTCAATAGCATCACACTAAGGATGAATGTGTCATTGCATATTTAAATGGTTACACAACATGTATATTTGAATATCTCTCGCATCACAGTGATATCTAAGCAAATAGGATTTCCCTTCCCTTGGGCTTACTCTTTGCCAGGTATTATTATTTTACTTATATTACAGTCCTATCTAGAGACCCCCTCTGAAATTAGGGCCCCACTGTGCCAGACAATGTACACTCATAGTAAGACAGTCCCTGCCTAAAAGATCTTACATAGTCTAACTATACAAGACAGATGGGAGAGAGGAAGTATCATTAACTCCATTCACAGAGGACGTCACTGAACTGCAGAGAAATTAAGTGACTTGCCCAAGGTTATACATGAAATCTGTGGCAGAGCTGGGCACTGAACGCAGATTTCCCCTGTCCTAGTCTGCTGCCTTAACCACCAGATCATTCTTCATCCCCATATGTCCATCAATGGCTATTAGCAAGGATGGCCAAGGATGGTGTCCCTAGCCTCTGTTTGCCAGAAGCTGGGAATGGGCAACAGGGGATGGATCACTTGATGATTACCTGTTCTGTTCATTCCCTCTGGGTCACCTGGCATAGGCCACTATCAGAAGACAGGATACTGGGCTAGATGGACCTTTGGTCTGACCCAGTATAGTCGTTCTTACGGAAAAATTGCCTATCACTAGAACAACATATTTTGAATCAAAGGTCAAAAAAGACCAGAGCAGCCAAAAACAAAACAAAAAAACAGTTTTTTTCCCTCTCTCTTTTTTATTGGCATTTTCACCCATAAATTTTCCATCAACTCTAATCATGACCTTTCTTTAATATTCAGCAAAAATCTATTCAGTAGACTATATTGTAGGATTAGTAAGAGAGGGTGGACAGGGGAAAAAAAAATCAACCAAATGAAAGGGAGCTGGAACTCTGCTGCTGTCTAGTGGAAATGAGAAAGATGAAAAGAGAGATGGCGTGAAGAAGAAAAAAAAAATCACAGAAGTGTAGAACTGGAAGGGAGGTCCAGTCCCCTGCACTCAAGGCAGGACTATGTAATAACTATACCATTCCTGACAGGTGTTTGTTTAACCCGTTATTAAAAACCTCCAATGAGAGATTCCCCAACCTCCCTAGGCAATTTGTTCCAGTGCTTAACTACCCTGACAGTTAGGAAGTTTTTCTAATGTCCAACCTAAATTGCCCTGGCTGCAATTTAAGCCCATTGCTTCTTGTCCTAGCCTGAGAGGTTAACAAGAACAATTTTTTGCCCTTTTCCTTGTAACAACTTATTATGTACTTGAAAACTGTTATCATGTCCGTCCCTCCCACATCCCCCAGTCTTCTCTTCTCCAGAAGAAACAAACCCATTCCCCCCCCCCCAATCTTTCTTTGTAAAGTTATATTTTCTAGACTTTTAATCATTTTTGTTTCTCTCTCCAGGACTTTCTCCAATTTGTCCACATTTTTCCTGAAATGTGGCCCCCCCAAAAGTGGATACAATACTTCACTGAGGCCTAATCAGCATGGAGTAGAGCAGAAGAATTACTTTTCGTGTCTTGCTTACAACACTCCTGCTGATACATCACAGAATGTTTCCTTTTTTTTTTTGCAACAGTGTTACACCATTGACTCATATTTAGCTTGTGATCCACTATGACCATCAGATCCCTTTCCACAGTATTCCTTCCTAGGCAGCCATTTCCCATTTTTTATATTTGCAACTGATTGTTCCTTCCTAAGTGGAGTTCTTTGCATTTGTCCTTATTGAATTTCATCCTATTTACTTCAGACCATTTCTCCAGTTCATTTGGAATTTTAATCCTATCTTCCAAAGCACTTGCAATCCCTCCCAGCTTGGTATCGTCTGCAAAGTTTATAAGTGTGCTCTCTGTGCCATTATCTAAATCATTGATGAAGACATTGAACAGAACCAGAACTGATCCCTGCAGGACCCCGCTCAGTATGGCCTTCCAGCTTGACTGTGAACCACTGATAACTACTCTCTGGGAACGGTTTCCAACCTGTTATGCACCCACCTTATAGTAGCTCCATCTAGGTTGTATTTCCCAAGTTTGTTTATGAGAAGGTCATTTAAGACAGTACCAAAAGCCTTACTAAAGTCAAGATATACCACATCTACCACTTTCCCCATCCACAAGGTTTATTACCCTGTCAAAGAAAGCAATAGGTCGGTTTCACATGATTTGTTCTTAACTAATCCATGCTGACTGTTACTTATCACCTTATTATATTCTAGGTGTTTGCAAGTTGATTGCTTTATTATTTGCTCTATTATCTTTCCGAGTACTGAAGTTAAACTGAAGTTGTCCCTTTGTTGATACATTTGTAATTTCTCCATCACGCAGCTTTTACTATTAGCGGGGCACCCTCGTGTTCATTGCTCTTGTTTTTCTTTACTGACACTTGTAACAGATTCTATGGACCTGACTCCACTATCTGATCTCTTGGGTAATCACTTACTCTTGTGCAAAGTGTGTGTAAAACTCTACCATTTGGATCTGATGCCATTTTACACCCACTGTTTGTGTGTACAAAAACAAAACAAAAAAACAAAAACAAAAAAGTTCAAGGAACTGGTGAACCAGGTCCTGTCTCCCTAACACAGCTGACTGATCTGTTTACTTATGCTATGTCTACACTATGGCCCTTACAGCAGCACAGCTGTACCACTCCAGCTCTGCCATTGTAAGGTCTCCTGTGTAGCCGCTCTCCTGCCGGCATAATTAAACCACCCCCAACGAGTAGCATTAGCTATGTTATCAGGAGAGCCACTTCTGCCAACATAGCACTGTCCACACCAGCACTTTTGCTAGTGAAACTTATGTCAGTCAGGGACGTGCTTTTTTCACATCCCTGACCGACAAAAGTTTTACCAACAAAAGTGGTAGTGTAGACAAAGCCAAAGGCCTGGTCAAACTGGAAAAAGTTGCACTGGTTTAACTCAATCAATTTTAAAATCAATCTAGTTAAACAGATGCAAACCCCTGAAGTGGACCACACTTAAACCAATTAACCCTTACTTAAATCGGATTAGCTTAATTTGGTAATTTACCAATGCAAGCTAAACTGGTAACAGCAAGGGTTGAACAGGTTTAAATGCATCCACATTAGAGGCTTGCTCCAGTTTAACAGTATGGATTAGTTAAATCAGAGCAACTATAGACAAGGCTCTCTGGAACTAATCAGTTTGTGCCCATAAAAAAAAAAAAATAATACTCTGTTTATATTATATTGCCACTTTCAAAAGACATTTAGAACACAAAGAAAACCATGTGCCAGATGAAAACAAAAAATATTATGATACCAGAGACAGAATAGGAAACATTAGCCTTTGAGCAAAATGCTTCTTATAAGTACCAGAGCTTGCTAGGTGTCAAAGCTAGGGTTGTTTACAGGTTTCAGAGTAGCAGCCGTGTTAGTCTGTATCTGCAAAAAGAACAGGAGTACTTGTGGCACCTTAGAGACTAACAAATTTATTTGAGCATAAGCTTTCGTGGGCTACAGCCCACTTCTTCGGATGACTGAACTTATTTCCAAGTCATTTAACTGCAGGATATTTGTCCCTCCCTTGATCGTTACTGTCATTTCACAATGTTTGGATGAGTCACAAGCCTTTTCAGTGCCTGAGCCTGTGTGCATAGACTAGTTCTTCCTTCATGAACTACTAGGACGGAAAACTAAAGCCTCAGATCTTCTGACAGGCATGAAACAAATACTTAATTGGGCAAAAAAACACAACGGGACACAGGTTGTATAAGACAACTTGCCTGTAGGTATTGTAAAAGCATGATGCCGATGGCTGAGTGCTGTCAATGCACTGGGGAAATACCACTATGCGATCACACAGGCTTCAGAGGGTCACATTATAATGCTTGTTTTAGTTTAATGGAGAGTAGTTTGAAAGAAAAGAGACACTTCTGAGGAGAAAACATTTTTCCTCCAACTGTTTCCATATTTAATTATTATAACTAAGGCCTTGGTTACACTGGCGCTTTACTGCGCTGCAACTTTCTCACTCAGGGATGTGAAAAAACATCCCCCTGAGCGCAGCAAGTTACAGCGCTGTAAAGCGCCAGTGTAAACAGTGCCCCAGCGCTGGGAGCCGTGCTCCCAGTGCTGTAAGCTAATCCCCTCGGGGAGGTGGAGTACCTGCACCGCTGGGGGAGCTCTCTCCCAGCGCTGGCGCTGCGACCACACTCACACTTCAAAGCGCTGCCGCGGGAGCGCTCCCGCGGCAGCACTTTGGAGTTTCAAGTGTAGCCACGGCCTAAGTCCAAACTTTAGGACGCTGTGGTTTCCAACCACTGGCACATCAACATAAGTACTGCAGGCTTCTGTGACTGTTTACGGTCCCTCTTCTCTACCAAAGAGCCCAATTCTGCAAGACTCTTTCCTGAGAGACACAGCCTCCTCCAAACCAAATGAATCCCACAACATCTAGGGTTGCCAACTTTCGGATTGCAGAAAGCTGAACATGCGGCCAATGGGAACTGCAGAGCTGGCACTCGGGGCGGGGGCAGTGCACGGAGCCTCCCTGGCTGCCCCTTCCAGGAGCCATGCAGAGCCAGGCAGGCAGGGAGCCTGACTTAGCCCTGCTGCGCCACTGACCGGACTTTTAATGATGCTGACCGGAGCTGCCAGCGTCCCTTTTCGACTGGGCGTTCCAGTCGAAAACCTGACACCTGGCAACCCTATTAATGACGTGTAGACTAATGGTTGGGAACCCCTGAACCCTTACCCTTTAGGGTCCTCAAGGAAATCCAAGCCCATAGCAGTTGTCACAGAAACAGCCACTGCTACTCCACTGACACACACAGCTGGTTCTCTGAGACTGTTAAAACTCGGGAAGCAAATCCATCATTTCAAAAACAACTTATGAGGGTCATAGCTGAATTCGGAAGTGGCGCAAAGAGAGTAGAGCGGGACAGGGAATCTGTGGGTTGCAACTACCACCCTGTACCCACTATCAAAGGGAGCAGCTGGTGAGGACTCTAAAGCACCACAGGGGCTGTTTTCCTTAAACCCATTAGTAGCTTTAGTAGAGGAAACAGAACTCAGGGGACCTGAACTGAGAACTTCTCAGGGAGGTGATTTTCCATTTTGTTTTAAAGATGTATGAATCTAGCATTTTGAAGTCTGCACATACATTCTTTTAATGATCTGGAATCAGAAAACAGACTTTCAACTTATTTCCCAAAGCATTTCAGTTCACCTTTTCAGATTTTCCCTACTCTTTCATGTAGGGAAGAGCAACAAGAATGATTAAAGGTCTTGAGAACATTACCTATGAAGGAAGGCTGAAAGAATTGGGTTTGTTTAGTTTGGAAAAGAGAAGACTGAGAGGGGACATGATAGCAGTTTTCAGGTATTTAAAAGGGTGTCATAAGGAGGAGGGAGAAAACTTGTTC